AGAAGATGAAATGTTTTGTTGGAACTTGTATTTTCTTAATAAAACGAATATAAATAACGCTCGACACAGAGTACTCATTGCCAGGCATCAAATTTTAGCAAAATAAAGCATCTTAGTACGCTTAGGGCAGCTTGCAACTAAGCTTTTCTCCCACATATCTCCAAAACCAGGGCATTGCAATATTTAAGCGTAAATACCTTTCGATATCTGGCGAGCAATCTACAGCCTACGTGGAGGTGACACCAAGCGCAGAACGTGTCTTGACCTTCGCATTTTTAACCAATTTTGGTGCTGATTTTCGCTTTTATTCAAGTGTCAGCTCTACAGGTTCAGCACTCTCGTTTGTCGAAGTAAGTACATTGGTCAATAGCTAAGGTCAACGAGTGACATGGCAGGAATAACGATTGAGTTCTGCTTATTTTATTTTTCCATTTTTCCCTTATGTTTGCATTCACCGAATGCAAGTGCACCCGCGACATTATTTAAGCTGCGCATAGTTGTACCAGAGTATTTAGCTGTGAGGTGGTTTCGTCCTAAGTCACTTGGGATTAGGACTGATACCTTAGCGATCTTATAGCCTAGAATCATTACCGCAGTCAGCCCATACTTTTGTCTGCCGTTAAAGAAAACTCAACTTCTTGTCAGCCCGAGAAACCTTCAGAAGAGACTGCTTTATCACAAACGTGATATTTTGTGGAATATTGAGGACGTTAAATTGTAGTATGAAAACAAACTTGCTAACAAGGTGTGTTCGAGGTATCTGAGTGGTATATGTCCCAAACATAACTCGTATCAAAAAAGTAAAAAAAGCTTTTCTCCGAAACTTTAGCACGGTTTCCTTTAAAATATTTAGTCAATCGCCTTTCCACAATATACTGCGTAGTTTCCTAAAGCAACGTGGAGCCTGCATACTTAACTATACTCCTGTGTGTATTGAAGATTTTGTTATTTATTTGCAGGGACCTGAGATACACCTGCGGTTGGCTCGTCGACGCTCCTGCAGCTCTCGGAAAACCGGATGGGTCTTGCCATGGGTGACGGAGAGGCTCCATGACGCCTAAAACAAAAAAAAAATGTTCAAAACTTCCCGTTAGCTGGTGCGGTCTTCGCAAATTAAGCTTGCACTGGTACAAGATAGTAATGTAACCGCAATCAAGGTAATGAACTTACCATATGGAAGAACGTCTCAGCGCTACGGTGGTCCCCTGCAGCATCGTACTGCTTCCCTATGTTGAACAAAAAGAGGCCATACTTTGTGCTGTATATGCCGTAGCAACACCTGTAACGCAGAATGGTAAAGTTTTGTTGAAAATATAAAATAGTTGGGTTGATTTATTTCTTACGACAAACCGGAGTGTTTTTGGCGCCCGAAAGCGTTCAAGCAACTATAAGCATGCTAAAATATCTAAGGGTCTACCGTATTGACTGCCACTCGATTTTTAAGCAGGTTCCGACAACATACAGGTTGGTAGAAATGTTAACATTATTGGCATATTCCCCGTGGAGCCGAGTGCAGTTTCGTCGCTGGTGTGCGGGCGGCCTTTCCATACCCTTCCGGAACCAGTTTCTGGAAGTGCAGCCTGGACAGCTGCCTCCACCTCATCGACGACAGGGAATTGGCGCCCTCGCAAGGTTTTTTCGTGACCCTTCACAGGCGATAACCAGTGGGAGCCAAATTGGACCGCATGTTTGCGCCACCAAACACCTCACATGTCGCGCGACGCGTCGCAAAGATGACCAAACCCAACCAGGCGCTGATAAATCATGGTGTCACGCGCATTCAGGTGAGTCAGTGGTTGTTCGGCGTTGGTCGAGTTCGGCCATCCATTTTACCCCTCGTAGGACCTGTCGGGCGTTCGGTCGTGCGTTTATACGGCCTGATCTGGCCCCCAGTGTATATCACCTGCTCGCGGTCATAAAGAAACCCTGCAAGGACGCCATTTCGCAGTCACTGATGAGACGGAAGCAGCTGTCCAGGCATGAATACGATCTCCTTCGAAAAGTGATCTTGGAAGGGCACGAAAAGGCTACCACACTGGTGGTGTAAGTGAATTCCACTCAAGGGGGAGTATTTATTTTTTTATTCATACTCTTGGCCTATTGGCCGTTACAGGAGTGCGTCATTAGTAAAATAACCAAATATGTAAAGCACACTTCCCTGAATGATAAGCACATGAATGATTCAGACGCAGATGCATTTAGACGTATATAAATATAAGCGAACTAAAGAACACAGAAAAGAAAATTAAAGAAAAATACATTATATGTGTTGTTGGGCGAGGCCTCTCAGGCCGGCTTCAAAACCTTCAACGGTGTCACATGCAAAAGCATCTTGAGGGAGCTTGTTCCACTCAGCTATGGTCCTCGGAAAAAAAGAATATTTAAAAATGTCGATCCGGGCATTCATCGGCATCAGCATTTCGGCATAACCGCCCCGAAGTCCTCTGGTAGGGCGAGACTTAAAATATCGCAGGGAATCTATGTTTAACCTTTTGTTTTGAATCAAATGCAGCAGTTTTAATCTGGCTACTCTCCGTCGTTCTTCCAATGGTGGCAAGTTTATTTGGGTGAGCACCGCACTATGTCTAGTATGTCGAGAAGTTGGACATATAAATATCGACCTCGAAGTAAGTGGAATATGCAGCAGAATAAAAAATTTTAAACTTTATAATTTAGTACGCACCACCGTGAAAACTGAACAAGGTAATAAGATATACCTACTACATTTAAGGCCATTTTCACTTAGTAGCAGCAAATACTCAGGGCGAAGGCGCTTAATTAAATAAATTACACGTTATTTTGGTACAGAAAATGTTGAGTAACGATCAAAGACCTCCAGTTGAACTGAAAGAGCTCCCTCACCTGAGCACATCGAGTATTTGCATTGCATAACCAGCCGCCTTTGCATGCAAGCCTCGTTTAGCGCAGCACTCAAAAGCCAGCTCCAAGGCCTCGATTCGGGAGATGTCATTAGGGGGCAACTCTTTCACCTGAGAACTGAGGATTTCACGAGTGCGCTCCGAAATCCACTCCACGGTCTGCTTGTCGTCTGAAACACCGGGGAACGTCACTTCTCAATATATAATTGCCACTCCTTGTAACACGCGCTGTTGCTACCCGTCATTTCATTAGAAGAACCTGTCGTGGTCCAAAAAAATTATTTTAGGCATTTGTTATAAAAACGCGACAGAACAACTATGTCAGCAAGGCTTCCTTAGCCATATCAGAGTCTGAATGAATTCTTAAGAAAAAAGAGGCGCGTGCCGACTTTAACAACTATCTGTTTAGCGTTTGCCGGGAAGTATCTGTGAAACCGAAGCGAAATACAGGCGAGCTGGTTTAAGTTAGACATAGTAATCCAGGAGAAGGGAGAAAAGCCCTGGGGTGAATGGACGACACAAAAGAATATTTGCGTTGCTGTTGTTTTTTCAATAAACTTAGTTGCGAGCACACCTCGTCCCGTTTGGGTGTATTTTCGTCCTTGTTTTCAGTTTCGCGCAGTTTTTATTTTTTATTTTTTTTTACATGATAAACGAACCTGTTTACACTACCACTTTGCTTTCCAATAGCTGCAACTGCTGAATAAGTCTGAAAACGGGGACAAAGTTTTTGTGCCTGTTTTGGTGAGCTTTAATATATTTAATTTTAAACATTGGGGTTAAGAAAACCGACCAGAATTGATCTGATCTGAGCATGAATTTGAGAGAAGTAGGCACCCAAGAATATTCTATTGACACGCAGATAATATATCAATCACAGCGAACAAATTATCAAGTATAATTCTCATGCTGTCACATCGAGACATAGCTAATTTAATACAAGTTGAAAGGTTTGATCATTTCTTGAGTTTTATATTGTACCTGTACTTTCCAGCTCCATTTGGAGATTGCGAATGCTTACTGAAAGACTGTTGGATTTCTCTTGAAGCAAATCTCCATCTTTCTGGAAATAGTAAAGCAAGTGCGCTTGAGTGAGCAAGTGTTTGACACGATAAACTAAAATTATACCTGATGACAGAGAGTGCAGTTGCAAGTGAAGTAATACTGATTCTGAAGTGTCTCAATGCGGTCGGGAGTCATTTGAAGCTTATCAACATAACATATGTAAATCTGGAATATAGTAAAAAAAAATCATTGTTATTTTATCTACTCTACTTTTCATTTATAGCGTTCCCGAATTGTTTATTTTGACAATTTGGTAAGTCATACCTCTCGTACACTGCTGACACTTAGGTCCCGAACAGCTCTCACAGTCAGACGTGTGCCATCAAACACAAAGGCAGCGTCCGGATCACAAGAATGGTCAAATATGGACGCCCTGTTGTGAACGCCAGTTAAATATAATTTCTGGAACAGTAAATAGTGCGCCGTCAACTATTAGAACGTGGGTTGACAGAGACTTGCCCAATGTACAGTCCCTGCCCGACAGGCTTCAGCTCATCGTCCGTGATGCAGAACCTGTTTATCAACACCTGCGAGGAAAAGATGACACACAATATCGGTAAAAAGTGAGACAACACGGCAAAGTGTATTCGCCTTTCCAAATATCTCGAGGCCTTCGAGCAGTGTTGGCATGTTTCCTTCTCCCAAGAGGTCTCGCAGAGTTGCCCACACTGCATTAAACCTGGGCAGGACAGCTGGGTCGTTCAAAATTTGTTCGGAATCTGCGAGATGTGTACATTCAGTCATGTGTGGAGTCTTCAAAAACATGGTACGTTGTGTGCGCTTGTTCTGAAAATAAGCTCACGTGACTCCAAGTCTTCAAAGGTCCTTGTCTGGTCCAGGATTGCTTCCTTGCAGTCTCTCATGTGCCTTCTCTATTTTGGGGCGGAACAAAGTAGAACGAATTTTGCACACGCAGCGTCCTACTAGGTGCTTCTGAATAATAAAAAAATTATTTTGATAATGTTTACATAATTCTTACTGGCTCCCAGATAGGTAATTCAACTCATGTGGTTAAGAGCTCTGTTCAACTACCGCTGCTTACTCGGAGCTTGATGAGGATGCGAGCCATGAGTCGCACGGTAGTGTTGGGGATGCACGGGAACATCTCTTGAAAATAGCAGCATTCCGTCTGATGATCTGACAGCGCAGAACTCTAGAAGGCAAATTGAACCCGTCTAAGAAACTACACTAAGGGTGGGTATACTAAAGAATGAAACTCTGCAGTGAGACATTTTGAAGGTTACGTCTAACACAAGGAGTACCAAGTCATCGGAAGACCCGAATAAACAGTCAGTGCGTTGACGAATGTTAAGCCATTGATGCACCCTACCACTCTTTCTTTCTACCCACCACATTCTTCCTCTATCGTATATGTGTTGCATTTACTTGTGGCCCTTGTACCTTGGATTAAGAAGCATACAGTCTAGGCATGATCGAAGAAACAACACTGGAAATATACAGCCCGTTACACTTTCGAAATTAATTAAAAACTGAGCGTGTTGGTAAGGTTCAATTTTACACACGAAAGAATAAGCAAATCGGACGGAGCACAGAAGATGACATCTTTCAAAAGATGGCATGTTCTGTGCTTCGTCATATTTGCTTTTTATCTAGTGTGTCAAGTGGAACTTTCGAAACATACAGCCAGAAGAAACAGATGCATGGAGGTGACCCTATCACTACGACCGACTTCGCCAAGTACGCAGTAACTAGAGAAGCTCTCACCTCGCAGAACTTGTTGCAGTAATGGGCTACACGGCATTTCGGACAACCCTTTAGACGACTAGACCTGCAAAAAAAAATATATTTCTAAGCGTAATCCGACAGTCGAACGCAAAACACGGGGAACGAGAATTCAGAATTAAAAAGTAGAGAGCCCAAACAAGCTGGTGTAAATTGACTTCGTGTTTGTGCTGCCCTTTTCTTGCCTCAGTTTTAGGGTTCTTCGTAATTAAGTTTAATTTAAAACTGCCAGCTGTCTGTGCGTGGCTCCACGCTATTAACGCATCCCATTAATTCCGCCTCGTTAGCACTCATAAAATCTTCCGCAAGCGGCCCTTTCAAATTTGGAGACATTACGATAGTTACAACATCAATGCGATGGGGCAAAGAGTGGCCGATTTGAGCCAACGCGTGCGCTCAGCTGTCTGAGGGAAGTGTTTGCCACATCCTCTGCTGCGTCGGACGTAAAGTCCAGCGTGATGGCTAGAGCTACTGTATAGCTCTATACCCCTGGTCCACGCGCATTTCAAAGGCTTTCACACTTGAGAGAATCGGAGAACAAGCACACGCCGAGAGACACGTGCAGAGTCGGGATCCCGAGTTTTATTACCGATTTCATAAAGTCCTTCAATCTGACGGCCTTCGAAACGCGCGTGAACAAGGGGCATAAGTAAAAAGAAAAATTATACAGCAATCGGCTATAGAGGGACCGGTGTCCTGAAAAGGTGACAGTGTCCCGCCATCCATTACCTTTTTATCTTTGCGAATTTCATATAATTCCTAAGCGACGAAAAAGTTCCTATTTGGGACTTCCTGCTGTTGTCGCCTCCTGACCTTATAAATACCAGGCCATTGGAGTTTACGTTCGCTTCATCCAAAATAAGTAAAAAAGTGTGTCAGACGTGAGCTTTCCATTTTTATTCAGGCGTTGAACTTGCCGAAAGTTCCACAAGTGCCATGACGTTATTTCGTAACCCTACCATAAGAAACCAAATACACCTTTTTGACCTATTTTCCGTAATACCATATGAAATGCCCACGTGAACAAAAATGCAAAAGTTAAGAAGTTTTATCACTGAACGGTGACGGTTTTAATGGGTTCAAGGCAATCTTCAACATAGTGTACACATATAACATAATAACATTACACTATACAAAATATTGAAGGCTTCTGTGCGCCATATTTATGTCTTTAAAATTTTCCTTTATTTTCAAATTATTCAAGATCTTTAAAAAAAATACCTTTTATTAGCCATCTCACAAGCAAAGTATGGTAGACAACAAAGGTCCAACACCAGATTAACCTGCCGTTTTTCATTGAGAAAAACTATATAAGAAGCCAGATATTCTTATTTTAAATTGTATTATTGGTCTCATGTGAGACAGACAGTTTCTTTTTTCAGTAAGGAAGGCCAAAATAAAGGCACAATGCAAACCATCTGTCGATTTAGTAATGTGTTTGACCTCAGAACAATAACTAGTGTGCATATTTATCACACATATTTTATTGTTTTGATTGGCACTACCCCTCGAGTTGAAATACAAACGTGATTAAACTTCCCGACCATGCAATAAAGTTTGGTTGAACAGGAAGCTCTAAGAATAAAAAATACTAGTTGCAACATAAGTATACAAAGAGATTAACTCAAATCTTTCAAAAATTCCTAAAAATGGTGTGGTTGACAAAAAAAGGAAAACACTTTCTGGAAAGAACCTCTGCCAAATATAGAGAACGTCAGGAATTGCAGAAAACGTACTAATTAGATCGATATGTAGCTAAGATTTACTAATTTCCTCATTATTTCGCGAAAGAAACTAATCGTTCCAATGAGACACCTTGATAAGCACAATCGAAAATCACTAAATCAACTAATTTTAGAAAGATATAAGGAAGGGGCAGCCTTTTACTCCGTTCTAGAAAAAAAGCTGAATTCGGAAGCGTTTCAAGATTTCGGATTTCTTATAGATCTTTGAGGGGGGGGGGGGGGGGGGGGGGGGGCAAGCAGCTGCGCTTTGAGAGCTAGTCTCACCACCGTGGATGAAAAACGTTTTTTTTTTCGGCACCAGTGTTGTAACCGCGGGTACGCCTGAGCGATGTTCGACTTTCAGACCAACGTTACTCGATCAACTCAGTTGACAAACTGCCACGGTCAGCATGATTCCTTCTCGTACCCCTCAGTTCGAAGCGCCAAACTTCTTGCTCGCTGCGACGCGTTTTGCAACAGCAAGACGCGTCGCAGCGGGCAAGAAGGATGATGCTCCAAACAGCATTTCCGGATTTGGTTATGAGCGGAAACTGACATGGGTGTCAGCACGTAAGGGATCACGCTCTCCGTGGGAGTCTGGTAAATAAGTTGGTCGAATGACGTTGTATCAGACGATCTACCCACACCAGCGGCAAGATGACGGCGCCAAGTCGTCGTGTTTGCGAACGTTTATTGGCGGCGAGATGTCTTGGTGGCACCCTCCTAAGGTTACCTTTCGTGATGTCATTACCTTGTGAACAACAAGTTTGAAGGTGTTTGTAAAGAGCATGCTGGAAGCTTGGAATCATTGCACTCTCAAACCAACATTACCAACACCGTAAAAAAATTTTCTTCTATTTCTCTTATTTCCGTCGATGGGAAATCCTTTGCTGACGTCATAGTCAGTATTCGGCCTATCATGGAGGACCGATCACAGCGACGCTTTCGATCACTCACGTCGCCAATAGGAGCGCATCTTAGCGCCAGTGCTAAATGTGCTGCGCTGCGCTACGCTGCGCTGCGAAGTCCAAGCTTTATTAATTGCGCCAGTCGTTTCTCTGCCCAGTGGCCGAGGCGTTTACACGTGTTCCATCTTTCGTGCGGTCCTTCGAGTGAGGCGAGGCAATGCCTTCGCGCTGCGGTCACCGGGGAGCGAAACCGCAGCGCTAAAATGCTCCCCGATAGGAAACCGAAACATAAAAAAGCGTCTTGATTGTGCGGGGTTTTTTTTTGTTTTTTTTTTAACGTCCTAAGTGTTGCTTTTTCGTCACATGCTTCTCAAATTAGTACATTTACTGCTTTTCGATACGGCTTAGCAAGATTTTTACTTGAACCATATGTTTATTTTCACTAATAAAAAATTCATTATTAAATTTTAGCAAGTTATTGAGCTAATTAGTATGCTTTTTGCGATCCTTGACGTGCCCTTTGGCTGGGAGCTGGAACCGGGGAAGAGCTTTTTTTTTCTTAACCACTTATTTTTAGTTTTTTTTAAAGCCTTCGATGCTACACGGTCGTGTTCATTGGACGGTACCCAGAGATCCATTGTCCAAGTGTCATGCCGTACTAACGCGCATCACCCGTGTCCCCTCGTTCAGTGGCAGGACGAAAAAGAAAAAGTACGAAAAAAATAATTTGGATAAAGAAGCCTCTGAAGTCTAAGAAAAATACTTTTTTGTGAAAAGAAAAATACTTTTTTGTGAAGAGAAAAAAAAATTTTTTTTGCTGATATCATTGCCTGAACTTCTGGAATTTGCATAAAACCTATGTAAATAAGAAAAACACTGTAAAAAACGGTTTGCTTAACACAAACATTTAGGCTGGTGCCTAATTACTTAATAATATGTCCTATCTAACGTTAAAAAACAAATATTTAAAGACGCCATTTTGAGTCCGAATGGGAACTCCAAAAAGAAGAGACTTTATGAGAATTCATTATCTTTGTTTAGTAAACTTAGATTTGCTTGTTAACTACAATACCTTTTTTTCTCTTAAGGCTAATAATTAAATTGCTTGTAAAAATTGTCAAAACCTCGATTGTTGCGTCTAACTTAAATCCCAAAATCTCCAAGTTTATGCAGAAACGGCATAGTGAAAGCCCGAAAAAATAAGTGAAGGCAGCGGTGCCCGAAACTTTCGAAATCACTAAAAGTTCAACTTATCTAATCTCTCTAGAGAAGGTTGTTGGGCTAGTTGGTTTTGGAACTTAGAATGTTGAGGGCTAAAATGTACTGATCTAATCAGTTTAATATATCAAAAAATTAAAAAAGTACTTTTCGTTGTTGCTGAGAAATTATTTTTTTAAAGATGAGCCTCTTTGACCATGCCTTTATGCGGCCGCTTCGCAGGCGACGCACGCCGATGTTCTCTAGCGACTCGTCAACAGTGTGAGACGCCGCCGCAAGGTCTCTAACCCTACCCTGAAAGCACATTTTGTTCAGTTGAAGTGGATGTTATCCTGAATTCCATGCATCCGTATCCTCTTTACATTACCTAATGACACTGGACTCTTAATTTTTATCTACGTCTTCCCATGTAACTGCCGACGAACGCAAGCCTGCATCGTCTGCTTCCCGAGTTTCGGAATGCGTAAGAGTAAGAGTAATAACAACTGATTTGTATCATACCCCGATATCAGCTCATACCATCAGTGAAGTCGGTGGCTCAAAAGGCCACGACAGTTGACGAGCGTTAAACGCCGTATAATGAATCTCCAGCTATCGAGCAATAAATCAGAACGTAGTGCCTAATTTTAATAAATTACACTCTGCACTCGCGTAAATATGACTATAATTAAATATTTATGGGGAAAAGCAGTTTCTATCGTAATCTAATGATATTTTGACATTTGCAACGTAATTCACCCGAGTCTGGCAGGTACTGCCCAATATAATGTCATTCTCGAACACCACCCGCGATGACTTGCAGCTGACTGTGGAGCCTAGCTCCTGCTCACTTTCCCGGACGGCCTGGGCCCCCACGTATGTAACACTTGTGCACTTATTTCAGAGCGGTAGGCGCACTTCCGCGGCCCTGGCCACGGGAACATTCCACGAAACGCCCCAATCATCAGTCTTCGGTTCAATATATGGCTCTTTAAAACTGGATGCCGATCCTACCGGTGTGGGGTCGTGTAATCACTAGGATGCAGGCTAAAGATCCCATGTTGGCAGTCGTATTGCACTGGCTCGGTTCCTCATCCACAATGTAATTGTATTGTGCGTTTCTTTATGCAGCGAGAAGTTAGTCAGCCCCCATGGCGATACACAACGGCTCGTCGCTATGATGCTCTTCCAGATGAAACCAGGCAGGGGTAGTAATT